TGTGTGTGTGTGTGTGTGTGTGTGTGTGTGTGGTACAACCTTACTTCAATATAGTTACAAAAAATAATGCTCTGTTATATCTTTAAAGGAACTCCCTGCTTGATATAGTCAATTGTCTTCGAAGAATTCGCTGAGATACACGTTAAGCTTTTGATCCCGCCTTATCTTGAACTCGCAGCATGTGAAGCCTCTTATGATCCTTCCTGTATTTTTCAATCGTTAATTCGGCATTGTTGGTACTTGACAAGCTCAATGTTACCGGATCCAGACTCGCCGCTAGTTTCAGATACGTCTCCTCCATTTCTTTCGTGACTTTTACCTCGTAATCTAAATCCTTGCGAAAATCCTTCAGCAAATGGTCGTCCTCAAATGTTATGAGATTTTTACTCTCGTCTATGTGCTCAGATAAGATATTAATATCAATGGGTTCATTATTTACATCTCTTTCGTTATAATCCTCAATGTTCTTCGGCACATCTCGAATATTGCGAATCAAATCTCCGTCTTGCTCCGAGGATTTGCGCTTTGCAACAGAATCGTTCGGATACACGGATGATGAATTGTCGCTCACAGTGTTCTCCACACACTTGATCTTATTGCTATCATGCGACGCGGAATTCTCCACGCACATCGATGATTGCACCCATTCGGCCACTCGTTGCAATTGATTGTCCTGCAGTAACACCGGCGGTGGCGAATTATCGTCGCTACCAGTCGAAGTCGAACCCTCGGAACCGGCTCGAGATGTCTTTTTCGCGTGCACCAAGACGGTGCTAATTTTGCCATTACTGCCACCGTTACTGCTGTACATCTTATAATGGCCAGCGTTGTCCAGCAGAATATTTTTGGAACCTGGCGTGACGCGGACCAGACAATTCCGCGGACCAGTCACGCGATTCTGACTCAAGTTGGACTTGGCGCTCGAATTGAAGGCACCACCGGTCAGCGATTGCGCAACGTCGCTGCAACTGCTAGACGGATCGGAACTAGAGATGACCATGCTGTCGCTGCTGAAACTCGGACTGGTCGTTACCTCAGTCTGACTGCCGTCGTTGTGATTCGCTACGTTGTTGTCTGGACTCTTGACCTCGATCACAGTAAATTGCGCGGCATTCTGCATATCTAGTCGCTCCGCTGACCTGTCATTCTTCCAATCGCGATCGTTGATAATATCGAGTTCGATATCGCGATTCGCTTTGTTCTTATTCTCCCTCAAAGGGTCTATTTCGGATGTCGACTTCGTCCACTTGTTCTTCCATAGCCTATCGTTAATAATATCAATGTGCGTCTGCTCCTTATCGGAGAACCGATTATCCGCACGTATCAAATTGCCGGTATCGAAATGTCCGAAGAAGTTTTTGTCACTCCAATGCTTCGCAGATCTATCGATTGGAGAATCACACTTGTTGGCCCTGAGCGGTTTCGACGCCTTGTCGACATTTATTCTATTAAGATCGTTTAATCTTGAAAACGATGACGAATGTTTGTTTTCGTGATTCTGGGACAAGTTTTTTTTATTCAAACTGGCTCTTGTAATGACACCGTCTTCCTCCATCGTATAATCCTGCCCGTTCCTACTAGCCCTACCAACAAACTTGTCTTTGATACACGGAACTTGCGAAGCGTACTTGACGTAATCGCCGTTCATGTGATGACGAATCCTGTTGCCATTCTCGTTGATCTCATAAAAGACCGTATGGGTTGCGAGATTCGATTGAAGTTTATCTTTGCTTTGATACTTATCGTCATTCAGCGTGCCTTCTGATGCTTGTTTCTCGACGCTGTATGTATAACTCTCAGAAATAGGAAACGTATCAGGCACACACGTTTGTGTCTCCGTGTCTACTGTGAGGATGCTTCTGTGACATGTGCACGTATCGCAATGTTTAGCTAAAATTCTCTCCTTCTCGCGATCTTCCAACACTTTCGCCATAATTGCCGCTGACACCATATCCATCGGCGGCTTGCTATCGTCGCTATCGTCGTCACTGTGCTTTTCCACCGTAGGCTTGGTGACATTGTACACCATCGCTGTCGGCGGAAATGTGGATATCGGCACGGTGATACTCTTTATGTCCGGCTGCGTCGTATCCTGCGTGGAGCATCGCTTCTGCGCGACGTATGTTCGCACTTTAGCCTGCACCTCAGAAGGCAGCTGCAATTTCAAAAAAGGTAACAGTCTTGAATCTTTATTTTTATTTTGAATGTCAATAACAGACGCTTATTGTGCCTTTAAACATTAACCTAAAATGCTCTTTGCTTCCTATTTATTGCTCCTTATCTCTTGTCTTTTTCTCTATTTGCGACTATTTTACATAATTGTTTCTTGTCTCTTCCGAAGATTGTCAATTTTTATCTCGACAGAAAATGAAGATACAGAATAAGAAGTAAACAAAGATAAGAGAGATAAAAATGGTAAAAAGCAAGAGACAGAAAGCACATTGTAGATTAGTCCTAAATGTTACTTAATAAACATCGACTTGCCTGTGTCAAGTTCAGAAAGACATTCTTAAATCCACGATAAATAATTTTTTTTTAAATAAAGTATGTAAAAATATCTAAACATATAATATATATCCGTCACATCATTATAATTTCTTAATAAATTCACAAATGCTTGTAGATGTAAATATAAACGAGAAATACAAAGGTTTATGCGCGCGCATGTATAAAGTTGTTGGTGCGTAAAATAAAAATAAGACGCTAACACGACGTTATAAAAATACAAGTAAAATGTCATTGCAACATTTAAGTATGCCAACACATAAAATTTATATAGAAACTAAAGAGTGAATGACGATAAATAAATAAATGAGGGAAAGATAAGAAAAGAATATATTGCCAAAATATAACTTTTAAATTAATATATAAGCATGAGATTTATATTTGACAATATCTTACCGAATCATATTTCTGACCCACGAAATTAGAAGGTTTGCATTGAAGCAACTGAATAGCCAAACTAACGTCGTTTCTATATTTTTCCTGAAAGAGAGAAAATATGTTTTTCATATAGAATGTATAAATATAAATTAATCGCGTAAGTAGCATTCTCTTTATTTATAAAATAAAGCTCAACAAGAAAAACATCAAATAAAAGATTATTATAAAAAATGTAAACACTTTAGAATATATATAAAAATGAAATACTTGCATTATCTTGAGTTAATCGATGTATCGTATAATTCGCATCGGCTAATCTGTGAGACAGAGTCGCTATGTCCTTCGTGAAGGCACTTTTCTCCGTCTCGCATTTGTCCACTATTCGCAGCAATTTATCCTCCAGATTTTGATTGACCTTTTGAACCCTCTTGTGTGCTTCATGCAAACGTGAATACTTCTCCTGCCATATCAACAGTTCCTCCTTCATGGAAGCTAATTCTCCATTTGGGAACTTATCGGCCTCGTTTAAGAATTGCGTCTCCATTGTCACAATGTGATTGTCTCTCTCGAGTAGTCGTTGGCGCAAGTTCTCTATCTCCGCATGCAAATGCATGTCACAGTGCTGCTGATTATCCTGGCTGCAAGTGCTGCACTTACAACCGCATCCCTGTTGACAGTGGTTGATATAAGCTTACCAAAATGTTCCAAATATTTTATAACAATATTACTAATTGAGAACAAGAATCAATATTTATGTCAAACAAGATATTATTGCTACAAACAGAGGAGGTAATTATTATATGTATATACAATATGTAATTATATAAAATATTAAGATTGAAAGAAACAATTGTTTTAGCGCAGTCACAATTCCATCACATCATTGTCATTAAAATGCAATTAACAAATCAGCTGTTACAATTACTCAATTACACTGCAATATAATAGCACGTATTACTATAAATAAAATTCTTGACATTAAAGAAAACATAATATTTGATGATACAATTGTTGTTTTTTGTTCTTTGTCATGGAATGTCAAGAAAGATAGAATGTTTGTGTCATTAAATGGAAAATATCCAATATATCTTTCCATCAATCTTTTATCTGCTTGATATTTCAAGTGAAATGTACAGAAAGACGCAAAGCAAGGTACCTTTACGGAACAAAGATATGAGATTTAAACGCATTCCCAGGGAAATGCATCTCGCGAGTAATCACGCGTAGCACGTACACGTGTGCGCGTGTAAAACGAATTGCTTCAATAAATCTCGGTCGAGGCAACACGAGAGATCAAGCGGATAATCGCGTGGAAAGTGAACGAGAACGTTCCCGTTGCTTATTCGAGAGGAGATCTCTCCAGGTCGAGTCATCCGTCTCGTAGTCAGCTGTCCGTCGCCACGTTGGCAATCTCTCTCCGCGGCCAGCTGTCATCGGCGGGAATACTCCGAATACTCGCGGCCCTTTAACCACGTATCACGTACCTTGCACTTCTCCGCCATGGTGACCGGTCACGCTGAGAACGGTATCGGTAACGATGCAAAAATAATGTCTAACGGCGCGAGCACTGCGATTCCGTTGGCGCCTCATAACCCTGTCCTTCCCTCGGCTCGGCGTCCGCGACGTGGAGTGCAGAAATGACAGGGCCGTCTCGCGCGCCCGCGGACGATTAATCGCGCACGCGGGGAGGATTCACACCGCGAATAAAACGCGACAGGGCATATTCTTTGTTTTTCTTTGTCTTTCCTTTATCGCGAGAAGACCGACATCGCGAAAGGAGGCCCGCTCATCGTCCGTCGTCGTCACCTGCCGTCTTTGTCGGTCGGCACGAGCCAGCACGAACAACTCCAAATCAGTGCTGTGATCGTTACGTTGAGTTTTCGGGTCCAAGCTGGGATCCAGGGATGTATTCACTTCGACCAAGCCCCGATTAACTTATGCCTGTTTCCACGAATGTAGATCAATTTTAATCCCGATTCAACTTTAATCGATCAATCAAGCGAATTGGAGATGGTAAAAGTATCGGCTTTCTCTCTTTTCTCTTCATCTTTTTATAATTTTTACAACTAGAAAGTTGAAAAGTTGAATCGGGATTAAAGTTAATCTACACTGATGGAAACAGACATTAACCGGAGATTAATTCAATTAGTGCGACGTAATAAAATATCGCTTGCAACAAAATTTTTACAATTAGCTCCATAACTTGTCACCCCAATCTAATCTTTCTATCTATTGTCAAACAAAAAATTAGTTATTATATATTCGTGTTAACAAAATAATATACGTAAAAAGCAGTACTTGATAGTTAATTGCGATTAACATATCGTTCAAAACTAAATTTCTAACTCTGTAAATCGTTCCGAATCTAATCTTTCTTTTCATGAGTCAATTAATAGCAAAGAATCAGAGATAGAAAGTAATACTTCACTTTCCATTCCTACAAAGAATTAATTCGGTTCGTGTCAACAAATTAATACAAGTACTTGATTAGTTAATTGTCAGTTAACTTAATTAGCGATTAACTCAACTCGGAGCGATCGCTTAGAGCAAAAAATTAATGATTTACCGTATACATTACTAATTACTTGATAAATTAATCACCAATTAATCGAAGTTTAATCGAATTAAGTCACGATAATATTATAAAACATTTAACAATTGGTGCATAAAAATCAGAAAATACATATACATGTGAACAGAAAATATTCGAAAAAATATGTGCAAGCGTGATATTAGTATTGATAGACTTAAATTATTTTATTAGTGTTTTACATAATTAATTATTAATATATTAACATTACTACGAAAAGATGAACAAAAATCTGTCTTTGTAAAAATTTCAACACTAATTACATAGAAACAATAATTACAAAGAAATAAAAATGTTTGTGTAAAAATTATATAGACAAATAGCTTTTTTTGTATAAGACACATAAAGACGGATAACGTATGACGCAGCGCACACTGATTTGCAAAAGTATTTATTAAATGTGTGTTACATCCCCATACATGATTTATTTAATTATAAGTCGTTAATGGCGTTAATACAATTATAATAACATTAAATGTTCACGATATCATGTCAAATAGAATACTTGAGAAATCGTCGAATCAAAGTGTATCTGTGCTTGAACTTTATAGAAAAAACTGCCACATTTCGAAACAGGACCGCGAGTACACATCGGTCGGGATTTCATAATGCAGTTGAAGTTAACTTTGCCTAAATGCACAAGTTATTCGATAAGCTAATTTTTTACGGTTTTACTGATCATCAGCACGTTGACCAATGTTGCTTCCTTTCCGATTTGAGAAATACATACGGGATTGCCAGAAGAAGTGATTAATAGTTACAAATAAATTAATTCTACTTATTTTTCAGAACAAATATTCCAACGTCTCGCGAACAGAACAATCAAATATTATCCGGTTTCTTTTGCAAACAGAAGAGAAGTGATGCCATACGTTCAAACACAGTATATCCTTGTTTCTCGGCCGCGCAAAAAATTCCGCGCAAACGTCGGCCACTATAATTTCATGTTAGTTTTAATTAAAATATTTGCATGAGTCGTTTATTGTAACAAAAAAAAAATCAAGTATAGCCATATTTAAACAGTCGTTGTAAATAAGTCATATTAGTCATATCTATCATAAAATACTAGACGTCGAATAATTAAATAAATTAAATTAATTAAATTCGATACGACAAAACGCACATTACAAAACAGATATACGATTAAATTTCCAAGAGTAAAAAATATATTACTTGCAGCGAATAATTACTTGTAAATACCTTCCTTGAACAATCCTGTGTATGCATGTATAACATTCGTATAATATTTATGTATATATACAGAGTGCGACAATGGTCGACGCTTGTTCTGATCAGACAATAATCACTACTGACAACAATGTTAAAACTCTGGTGCGGACTGTGAAAACAAAGGCATTACAAACGCAGCTTAGAATAATCCTTTCCTTTATCGCATGTAAATAAGATTATTTTATTCGCTATATAAAAAAATTTATGCAAATTTAAATATATATACATTATATGTATATGTATATATAGATATATTTACGTATTTATAAAATCTTAAAAATAAAAAGTAGTAAATGTTCATTGTGGTAGCGCCGTTAATGCTGTACTATGATATTTTCGAACGATGAGAAAAATTATACTGCAATAAAATTAATATGATAATAAAACTAACACATGTGATAATACATAATTACAGTCTACAACATTGTCATATCTCATAAGAATCTCATATATACGTATTAAATAAATTACCGGTAATTTCTGTGATAACTACGAGAAATATCTATTAAGCTCAACTTGGAAAATATCGCAGCGTTGCATCCCCAGCGATGGATATCAATCATGTAATTTTTTCTCTAGAGTGAAAACATGAAAAGTGACATTTTTTTATGTATATACGAATGTACGTACATGTACACACATACATACAACAAATTTTCATTTCTCACGTTTCCACCCCGGGGAAAAAAATTACATGATTGACACTCTGGTCTCGAAAAGGCAATTCTGTTTCCTTTTCCTCTTTCTATGTTTTTTTTTCCTCTAAATCGCGACGCGACGCGGTTTGTAACGCCTTTGATTTCGCAGGCTGCGTTAGCAATTGACGCTACATCATAAAACTACGTACGACAGAGGAAACCCTTATCTATTTGCTGTGCAAGTAGCATCGGCCGCGGCCGAGAGTCCTACGCGACCCCGATCGGTGATCGTCACTTCGCGTTTACGGTGCGAACACGAAGCGCCGACGTGTCCTAATCGAGACATTCCAAAAGCGCTACGTCTAGCCTGGCCACGTGAGCAGACGCATTCAAGGATAAAATTTGATTGATTAAACACGACGGAATCGTACATTCTCGTTAGCCTCGATTGCAAAATGTATAAGAGACGTAGTATTTGAGTGTCGTGTGAAGTACAAGACATGGGTACTATCGAAAGTATGCTGATAAGTAATTGTTGCTGAAATGTATGATATTACATCAGATAAACGCGTAAAACAAAGTGTGTCGAACGCAGCCGTATTGTATCGGGTACTTTTTTAGAAATGCGCAAAGATCGTACGACAGAATGAGCAGAACAGCAATGGTTTCCCTTCCTTCCTTCTTTCTTTCAATCGTCGTTTTAATTATTCAACATCACGTAATTTTTCTCTCTCTCTTTCTTTGAAATTAACGCAATCCATTTTCATGGAAAGAACGATTTTGATGAAGTACCACTAAAAATTTAGCTAGATACCTGCAAATCTAAAATCAATTTTAGATCAAAATAATTACGTAGAAATCTCATGATAAGCCATGTTGCAAAAATTTTGATATTCTTGCAACCAGCTTCAGTCCTATATAATTATTTTGATTTTCAGATCTATATCTAGCTAAATTTTTAGATACCTCAGCAAAACCATTCTTTCCATGTGTCAAGATAAAATTTGTCCTTTTAAATATAACTGCAATATTAGCAAACATTTTTTTTAAGAATTCTATAAATAAATGTACGTCCTTCACCTATTCGGATTTACGAAAGGTTACAAATTGTGTTTTTTTTTAATTTACTATTTACAAATTAAGTTAACAGAATTTCTTCCGTGATGTTAATATAATTTTTCGCAGATCAGTAAAATCTTTAAAATATAAAAATCTTATTAAAATATAATAAATTATCTTAAATTCTTCAGAATGCATTGACTCGTTCCGATTTAAATGAACAATTGACAACCACATTTTTATAGTTTACTACTTTATCTCGAAGTTATATTAGAAGAAAATCGGACTGTTTTTCTCGACATTCATCTAGTATCATCGCAATAGCTATGCAAGAAGAAATATCCCTACAACGTATGACACAGCATTAGAGGAGATATATATATGTATATGTATACGTTTATATGGTGCTTTATACCCTACAATCGAAATGATCCAAACATTAATACGTTCTTAGATATGCGACAATCCGGTAAATATCCGGTCGGTTGTCTCATCAATGTCTCATTAGTGGAGAATTCTGCGTGTCATGGAAAATGTGAAATACGATCTCGCTCTCGTGAGTAAACGCACGACGAAATAACGTGGTATACAAATCAACGAAGTCACTTAAATGCCGCTCGGCAGTTTTTTTTTTTTTCAAGGGAAAAAGGCACCGATACTCGTGCTCTCCTATAACGCGATTTAACACTTTGAATCCACCGATCGCGCGACACGTGGCGTCAATTCGACTCGCGCCTCGCGACCGAGATCCTTTTATAATCTATTATTCGTTTCATCGACTTTCCTCTTTCAATACTACATCGTATGAATGCAGAGTCCCATTTAGATGTACAAGCCTGATAAACCGAGCCGAAAATAAAACGCAAAACAGAGCCGCTTGATTCAAAGTGCTAAAACGTCCGGCGAAAGTAGGATAAGTACAAAGTGGTTTCGTGGATCGCAAACCGCTGATCTGCTTATCGTACTAATGTTCGTTCTGATCATCTCACGCACATCGCATTCCAAATTTTCTATTACAAAGGTTTTTTTTACGCGAGTACATCTGTCTACTGCGTTTTACCGTTTGAACACGCAAGGCACGCAATACGCGCGCGTGTATATATGTGTCTGGCTCGTATAAAATAATTGACTACCTACTTATCATTAAGAAAAGGTACGTTGTTGTCGCATTCGGTTTCTTCTTACGTGTGAACACAGTTAGAAAGTTTGGAACATTTCAAATGTTGAGCGCCTCTCCTTCCTTCATTGATATATACATACATATACTTTTATGCGCGTATATATGTGCATGTGTGTACATATATATGTGTGGCTACGCCATATATATACACGTATGCACATATATATATACGTGTATATATTATATATATGTATTATGTAAGAATATTAAT